ATGAGAGGCATGGATGCTAGGTGAAAGTTCCCATTATACGAAGCTGTGTTGCTCAAAATAGTAGGATCTCACCTCTGCTAATAGTTCAGGTCCTTCTGGATTTGGAATTCAAAGTGATCAGTAAATCATTTGCCTCTCTCTGAAAGCAGGACTTGCCTCTATGAGTTGCAGTGGCTTCTTGTTCGCATTTCCAGCTGTGATGATTGATAGATCTGTTCCTGAGCCCTGAACAGGGCGCACTAGCCACTAACAGCAAAGACATTAACAGACTTGATGAAATTGCCTTGTCAAAACTGTTCTAGTTTCAAAGTCTGTCTTTTGGTGATACTTGGAATGCTTAAATAGATGATGAAAAGTTATTCTGAGAATTAATAGCATAACAACATCACTTAAGAACATAATATTGCAAACTTATCTACAAAATAATTGGTTTCTCAGCATACAATAAAGGCCACATTTGGAGTCCATTCTTTTTTTAGTATGCAGTTTTACATACAGTATGAAAGTTGCCTTCACAGCAACAGTGTTCTGTAAAAGAATGAAGGTACTGTAACATTTTTTTTTTTGTTAATAAGAATGGTCACCATTTAATTTGAAACATGTACATATAATTCTCTTTGTCAGCAGTATTTTTGTTTTTTCATTGCATAACACTGGAGTATTCTGAAAGTTAAAACTTTGGTTGTTAGCAGTTATATGAAAGCATTTCTAGATGTGTAAATTTAAACAATTAAAAGTTGAAAAATTATGGAAGATATTTAAAAAATCTAATTCATATACTGCTAGTTCTGGTGTTGCGTGCTCCGAAAATCTAAGCTGTGCTAAGTTTAGCCATAGAAAATTGAAAAAGCTCTGTTGCAGAACAATATAGGAAAGTGCAAAGAGGATAGGGCTAGGCTTTTTTTCAATACCAAGAGGTTCCTCCAGAAGACTTCTTTACTGTTCAGGCGATGGAGAACTTGCACAGGCTGCCCAGAGGGGCTGTGAAGTCTCCTTCTTGGAGATATTCAAAGGCCATCCAAACATGGATGTGGCTTTAATTGTCCCTGCTTGAACAGAGAAGCTGGAGAAGATGACCTGCAAAGTCCCTTCCAACCTGAACTGTACTATGATTCTGATTCTGTGAACTTTATATATTTATACAGATAAAAGATGTGGGCAACTTTCTAGTTAACATAATTCATCTAAAGTAAGGTCTACACATAATAGTTTCAATGAATAGTGCTCTGAAATAACACTGTTTCATGAGACAAAAAAACTAGGCTGCTTTCTGCAGAGCCTGATGAGAACACATAAATTTAAGCCGAGAAAAATACTGGATTACATGAAGGATTAAAACCCAAAATGTTTTCATGCCTTTAAGCACAGTAGAACATTACCAAGAGTTCAAATTAAGGGGAAGAAATGTTGGTATGTTTTCATTTAATTACTAGATTCTTTAGTGCTTGTTAAAGCTTTCTTAGAATCATATAAAGAATCATATAAATGTCCTCCCCACCTTTCATTTTTGAATATTTATATTTTCAGTATAAAATGATATATTTTAAAGTTCCAGTTATTCAGTCAAGAGGGTCAAAATGAAGAGTAAGAATGATATTTATCTCTGTTCATCTTCTTTTGATAATGCAGGAAGTATTCCAGAACTTACCTTTTCAACCAGTAGGCTGGTATTCCTCATCTAGTAGTCTGACTTTAACTTCAGTTTCTTGCTGTCCTGTTGGTGGTGGTGCCCAAGAGGCTTTAGGCTGGAGAGTGGGTGTCCTAGTAGCAATTTGCTGCAATCTGATCTGCATTCCTTTGTATGCCAGCCTAAAAACCTAGTACATGGTCTGGATGCAGCAATCTTTCTTCGTTCCCTGAAATAATTTCCTGCCTTTTAATGCTTTGTCTTTTGTTTCCGGTACCTTGCATTCAAATGGACTCTTCATTACTAACACACTGTCTCTCGTCGCCAGAAGTATAGTTCAGCTGCTCTTAAAGTTTGTGTTAGGTAGACAAATTTGCCAGTCAGCTAGTCATTGCTGAGATTTAACTCTAGTATGTTGTAGCAGATGTGGCAGGAGGTTGAGTACCCTGTGAAAATGATGGCCAGGTTGCCACGGAACTATTTAAATCCAGCCATTATTCAGCACAGACAATTTACTTTTCTATCAAGGAAAAATCCCAATATCAGTTCAGTAATCAGTTAAATACTACAGGAAAAAACTAAACTTCAACTGAAAAGTAGTTTCTCTGAAATTTTATCATCTCTGTTTTGCTGGTGTCATTGTACAAAAAAGGAAAATATATAGGACATTCAGATTTAAAAAATCTGTATGCGATATTGCATGTGTGCTCATAATAATTTCTGCATTAACTTCAGGTTCCATACTTTGGGAGGTTTCTTTAAATTAGATTTCTGTCTCCTAAAATTTCATTATTACTGTTAAAAATGTGATATTTAGTGTTACACTTATTTGTAACCCAAACTCAACAGAAGATGTAATTAAGTCATTTCTAAATCATGGTTTTTTTTTGCCTTAGGAGAAGAAAAAAAAAATTATTACAAGATAACACATTTATTAATTTGCAGGGAGGCCAGAAGGTTCAGTGATAGCTTTAATGAAAAGGATATCAATTATTTCTTTGCCATTTGGGGATAGTGAAGAGAAGAGAGTAGTTCAGTAAAAATGAAAGTAAGGAGAATAATGACAAAATGCTTTCCATCCACTTAACAGCTTCAAATGGAACTGAATTTAAGATACAGAAAGAGAGACAAATGAAGAAATCCCTAAGGCAAAGCTGCTTCTGGGAGGTTTTAAATTCAAATCAGATTCTACTATTTTCTTTTCACAGAAAGTAGTAGTTTAATATTAAGATTAAAATATTTTCAATTCATTATCTAAATTATGAAGATAAATGACAGCTACTGCTCTTTCTAAGTTTGGCTGTGCTTTTTTTTTTTTTTTTTTTGCACTGCTCATACTATTTGAAAAACCACCCAGTAAATCCATAAAAACTTCCTCTTCAATCTTTCACACAGTAAAGTTCCTTTACTCAGAATAAAATTTAAGTACTTGAATAGATTTGGGTAAATATTCAGGAAAATAAGCATAAACTTCTGTACATAAATACCTCGCTTGACTGAGGCTTGTGATATTTTTGTTTTTAAACATCACTCATATTTTAATAGTGCTTTGATGACTGCATGTATATTTTACATATATATTATTATATGTGGTATTAAAATTCATGCATTCCTGTCTTCTCCCTAGGTAGACTTGCTGACTTTCTGTCTTGTTAAGTAAACTTTTTGTTTTTATCTTTATATTAAGTGCAAATTTAAACCAGAGAGACAAGTGTAAGGCTGTACATTTCACAGTCTTGTTGGAAATATATTGGGCATGTTGTACCGGTTTCGGTGCTTAAATCTCAGTAAGCTTACAGCTTTTCCATGGTCATTGCTATCTGTAGAGGAGGAGAAGATAATTGCCATATTCTTCTTAAAGCTGTGTGTGCGCGTGCTCTGCAAATTCCAGAATCAAAGTTCTTGAGTAGAAAGGGCTGAGGCTCAGAACGTACTTTCAATCTCTGAAGAAAACAAGCAGAGAGCTGAAGCCTCCTTGCTAAGGAGGTGTCTTTGTTATACTAGGCTGAATGACTGGAGTTCCCAAAATGCAGATGACCATGTCTTCATGTCTATATCACAGCTAATAAACCAGGTAAGTGGAGAGAAGAGGAAGGTATGAATTACCGACATCCAAAAGGATCAGTTTGTATGACTATATTTTGTTCCGATGTTTACAGATGAAGAACAAAGATACATTTTTATATTTTAATATCGGTATATATTTTAAATTTTGAGTGCTCAGTTTTCCAAAATAGTATTCTTTGATTCTATAGAAAAAAACATATGCACAGAAAACGTATATATACAGAAATGATGGTGGACTTGATGATTGACTTTAAGTCCTCATTAGTTTGCAGATTTTTGTTTTTTATTAATACACAAACGATAAGACAAGGACTAAAGGTGCTTAAGTCTTTCAGGATTTATTTCAACTGAAACATTAAAAAATTGATTTTTTTTCTCTTGACTCCACATCAGAAATGTATTTCTGTTCAAGGACAAGGTATTTCTATTAACTCACACCAGACCTGGTCCTCTCATAGTGGTATCTATGAAATGGAAGCACACACTTACTAAATCACCTGCTTAAATGACATACTAAATAGAATCAAGTGTTTGCATACTTGCTTAATTTTTAATAACATTTGGTACATAATATTTTTTCATTAAACTGATATATTAACATAGTAAGAAAAAGAAACAATTTCAACACAATCATCTGAAGTAGAGTTTTAGAGATGTTCACAATGTTTTCTTTTTTCTTTTTCTTTCTTAAAATCAGGAAGAAAATCCCTCTGCAAGGGCTCAGACTGGATGATAACCTTTCTACCTTCTCCCATCCATAGTTCGTTTTCACATCACCTCTTTTACTCCTTGTTCTCTGTCTACAAGCTCTTTAGAATTGAACTGTTTTTCTGCTTGTGTATTTATTTGCGTTCCATTTCATATCTTTGGTTAGATTTTAGGTGCTATCCAATTAGTAACAGATAATGTAAATTATAAACTTCTATTAACAAAGGCATCAATTATTCAAGTTAGAGAGCGTAATTTGTGCAGCTTCAAGTTATTATCTTTCTTCTGAGTTTATGTAAAATGAAATCATAAAGGTGTGCTGCATCTATGTAAAAGTAGTTTCTTTTTCCAGTGGTCTTTGTAGTGTGATGAAATGCCATCCATCTTTCTACCTTTGAGAAATGGTATATTTACCTATATATAGTGTACCCATATAAAATTCAGAGTTCGTTATCTTCTAGAGTTTACTCTGCATGAGTAACAAGGGAAGACATAACAACTGTAATAAAAACATGTTTTGTTTTGTACAGTGATGAAAAATGTGAAGCATGTTATGTTACTAATTTTACTCCATTTTGGAATAATCTTGTTGTTACAGCTTCTGCTACTTTTGAAGACTTTCAAATTCGACCCCATGCTCTTTTTGTTCATTCTTACCGAGCGCCAGCCTTTTGTGACCATTGTGGAGAAATGTTGTGGGGACTGGTGCGTCAAGGACTCAAATGTGAAGGTAAGTTGCAGGCTGTTCAGTCTCAGGAAGGAAATCTTCCATTACATTTTCATGCATGTTGTTTCTGATGCAGATTTCTTTTAAATTGACTAGGTAGGTAGAGACAGTTAGATCTAATGATCAAAATAATTAACAGATTAAGGAGGTGATCCTTTTGACTCCCTTGAGGCCTCCTAGATATTGATCTGTAAGTGGAAGTGCCAAAGAGATAGTCTATATGTGGGTTTGTTTGTTTGCTTGCTTGCTTTAAGAAAAGCTTATCTGTGTCTTATTTATAATAGAAAAGAATAGTTTGATTGGATGTGCCCTTCCAACTGCTTGACTTCTTCAGGGCCAACCAGAAATTGAAGAATATTATTGAGAACATCATCCAAATGTCTCTTGAACACTGACAGGCTTAGGGCACCAATCAACTTCCTAGGAAGCCATTACAATGTTTAATCTTGATGGTAATTTTTTCCTAATGTCCAATCTGAATATTCTGCGGTGCAGCTTTGTGCCATTCCCTCCATGTATCTATCATTTCTGTGATAGATAAAACTGTATAGGTTTAAGTTTTCAAGAGCTCGTAATGTCACTAAAAACATACAGAATATAGGAACTAAACAAGGAGAGCAGAGAAAAAAAGTTTCATCAAAAAAGGCTGTTGTTTCTATTTACCAAAGAAAAATGTTCTCTGCTTTTCCAGTAATAAACTGTAATCAGATGGTTTTAAATTTTTCTTTTCAGGATGTGGTCTAAATTACCATAAGAGATGTGCATTTAAAATTCCTAACAACTGCAGTGGTGTACGTAAAAGGCGCCTGTCAAATGTTTCCCTAACAGGACTGAGCACTATTCGGACAGTTTCTGCAGAGACATCACCCAGTGTGTCGGATGAAGCCCTTCTGGTATGCAATTCCTTAGCTACCAAGGTCATAAATATTGTTGTTAAGAAACTATTATGTGCTGAAGGTTCTGTTTTTGTTTGTTGAAGACTTCGGGGCTAATAGTATGCAAATTACAGAGCTTTTCTGTGGGAAAGGGCATATTGATGTAAAAGGGAGGTCACCAGCTTAAGGTATGTGAGCTTAAAGTATGTGTCACTTCTGATATTACCAGTAGACTCCTCCCTTAGAGAAGAATTATGTTATTTTGAAAATCTGAAACTGCCACCTATGTTAATGTGAGAAGCTGCATCTTGATGCTCAAAACTGGATGTCTTCACTGGAATTAGATGCTGAAATTTTTCTGCCATAGAACATTATGTCCATTAGTTCATGATACAGGAAAGAAGTGGCCTCAGGAGAACACTGAGACACTGCATCAAACAGAGTTTCTGTAACAGTCAGGGCTATAATGTGTTGTAAGTAACCTGTATGTACAGAATATCTCTTAGTGTTTGGAGAAAGAGAAATCTTTATTATTTCCTTAAACAAAACATTGTGGTAAATGTAGTATATATCGAATATATGTATTTTTATGTGTAGATGTCTAAATGCAGAGCTGCAGGACACACGTGCACACATACATATACAACATATTTGTTTATTCATAAATATAGTAGTTTTCCGTGATGAAAAGTCTTCTGATAAAATGTAATGACTGGAGTAATTTAGAGCTTGTTTTTGTCTTGGTAGTTTTCTTGTGGTCATAATATGAAAGTTATGAATTTGCACTGTGTGTAAATGGACTCCACTTCTAAGTGAAAGTTTTGAAAACCTTAAGGTTTGAAAGAGAGGAAGGAGTTTATAAGTACACACAACAATTATCATGTTTTCCTCTCAATTAGAATATTAAACTTATTAAACTTGACATACTAAAAGGACACTATTGCAAATGGTGTAGATCTGGTGTTATATGCAGTGCCATCTATGAGCCATAATTATGTACTTATGCTGATGATTATCATTAGCGTAAAGCTACTTGGAAATTAATGTTAACATTATGAATCTGTATTTTACTTGAAAAGCTGCATAAATGAATAAGGTGCTTAAGTTCTGCAGAAACTGCAGCAACAAATCTTCATAGATTATTCATGATTCTCAGTAGGTTATTTCAAAACGCTGAGTTATTCAGACCAATACCAATGAAATGTTGAGAAGAGGCTGACCCTAATTCTGTTCCTGGAATTTTGATTAAAAGAATTTTATGAGTGAGAGTCCTAGTACATTCTCTATCAGTATTCGCTTCACTGTACATGATAAATTACATGATAAGGATAACAATTTAAATTTGAAAATACTTTCAATTATATGACTCTATTGGTTCTTATATGAATTTTTTTTTGCAAAGCTATACATTTAAAATGTTTAAAAAAATAAAACTAAGTTAAAATACAAAAATATACAGTAAGTTTCATACATACTGCAAAATGCACTTTTCGAAGACCTTATAATCATCAAGGTATCCAAACTTTGGAATATCATGCATTTGTATAAACATATATGCATGTGCACATTCACACATGTGTACATAGAAAGTATATTTGTAGGAAGTTACAAGGATAGGCATAAGCCTAGAAAAATGAAAGAAGCAGTTTTCCAGTTTCACTTTTACTTCAGGAAATCATGGTATCACTTATCATATTTTCAGATGAGATCTCAAACAAGATCATTCATGTGTTTTTGTTTTTGCATTGAACATGTTTGAATTTTTCTAACTTTAAAATATGTATAGACTTTTTCACTTTTCCTACATCAGACTTCTTCTTTGAACTCCATTCCTCTGCTGTACTCTGAGATAGGTTTTATGGCACTTTATAATGTGAAATCAAGGCATGTACTTTGAAATCTATTTCATTATTCTGGAATCTTTGTGAATAGACGAAGAGACATTGACCTTGTTCATAAAATTTTATCATGCATTATTTTTACTGTATTGGCACGACTCTTGAGTCACTGACAGAAAAATATAAACTCTATCTGATACCAGTGAATTAGTCAGAGATCTACCAGTTACTTAAATAGAACTAAAATAAATTTCATTTTTAGCCTATTTACTAAGTGGAGTGGTAACAGTTGATAGAGAGTTGATAGCTCCTAGAGACTCTTCATAGGGGGGATAATTATCTAAATTTTCATTTCAGTATATATATTTTTTACGTTATGTGAAGGAGCTAAGACATTTTGCCCTAAATTGTGGAATTTTGATATTTGAAAAATTTTTGAGGCATGGTAATGGGTAATGTACCTTCAACAGCTACTTTAATTATCCTTTTCTAGGGAATTGCCACAGCAGGCACAGTTTCAGAGTTTATATCTGTCCTCATTAGCCAATAAAGCATTTCATTTGAGCTGAAAATTGACTGGGGGCTATACTTAAATGCAACTTTAAAAATAAAATAAAATCTGGGCAATATCCTTTTTTGCTTCTTAACTTCACAGTGTAAAACTCATCAAATGGACATACTAAAATTAAGTAAAACTAGGAGGATGTACTGTAACCCAAGTTTTTACCTATCATAGCTCAAATGCAATTCTTTTGCATTCTATTCTATAACATATGAGGGTTGCGATGAAAGTAATGTCTCCTATTTTATTATGTCGGAACACAAGATTAGAGGAGGATGGTGGTAATATGTCAGTTGGGGCTGAACCTTTCCACCAATATTCCATTACATTTTGTTGCCATACAACAGATGGCAGCAGAGGGGCATTCTGACAAAGTTGCATCTGGCATAAAAGTGTGGATGAAGCCAAGGTGTGGAATTGAATCCCTCTATTTGGAAAAAATGGCACCCATTGACATTCACTGATGTGTGTTTATAGAGACTGAACAGTGGATGTGAGCACAGTGAGATGGTGGGTGGTCCATTTCAGCAGTGGTGATGGTGGGTTATCTCTGCTAGCGCAGAGTTTTACCAGTGCAGCATGCAGGCTCTTGGTCATTGCTAGCAAATAGGCATAGCTAATGATGGTGACTACGCTGAAAAATAATGTTTCGTAGCTGAGAATTTGCTTTATCAAATAGTGTTGTTGTGCTCTTTGTATCTGTTGTCATTTCCAAGGAAATAAATGGAAGACATTACTGTCAGAGCAAGCTACGTAGAATTCATGTATAAATTAATAGCCTGTTCATGCTTACTTCTAAAGTAACATTATTTTCTGTCTTTTTTCCATTATTTCTTTGGTCTATCTTTTCTTCTTTCCAACTTCCTGTCTCAGTTTCCTGTTAGCCCTGGCTATGAGGTATGTACTAAATTTACTCCCTGTTAGACTGTCAGGAACAGTCTCTTTTATTAATTATCAGCATGATTTTATGTAATCTTGAGAACTCAAGAGCATTTGTTTCTTTTCTTTTAGAAAGAGTATATCTGGTATAAAACTCCAAAGCCACTATTCCAAAGTGAAGATCATAATTCTGCTTATATTAAAGAGTAAAACTTCCCTGATACTAAAATATTTTGATATGAAAGTGACATTTTGTAATAGATGGGAAGAACAACTAAACTTCACTTTCAGAACATTGGGAATTTGCTGGAATAATGTACAAAATAAACATCCTAAGATGAACAAACTGACTTAAAGTGGTTGCTAGCAAGCTTTTAATATCATGACAGAATATAGAAGCTTTTTTCAGAATATAGTTGCATTACAAAAATCAGTCAAGGATTCTGTTTTTCTCTGGAAAAAATAATTTTAAAATGATTAAAAAATTATTCTAACAGTGTACAACTGATTTATAGCCATGAATAATAATAGTGTGTTAGTGAGAAAGCAGTATTTCAATTTTTTTAATGCATAATTCACATCAAAAGGATTCTTAATGGGTTTTTTAAAATAATTTCCTAAGGAAGCTTGTTAAATGCAATAAATTTAAAAAAAATTTGGAAGATAAAATTTTGACATCTTTCCCTTGCAGTATATATTTGATATGCAGAGGTAGAAGATTGAACTTTGGAAAATACATAATTAATTAAAAAAATATTTTTAATGTTGAAATGTAGATGAACATATTCAAACATTTATCTTTTAGAAATAAATTTATGTGTTTTTTTTCCTCAAACAAAAGTATTATAATTTTTGTTTGCCTAAGTAATGCAGAGTACCCAAGAAGTACTACTCTGTAAAGCACTCACAAAACAATATAAACAAACATACATGGAATAGAGTATTTTTAATATCTAAAAATTTTATTCTATGTATATGCTATCTGAAAAATGAACGTAGTTGGGTTCATTAACCCAAGGGGCAAAATTAATATTTGCTCCTGAGGAGAGACTCTCAAGTTAACTCTGAAATAATACAACTCACAAATACATTTTTTTCTTGTCACCCTCAAGTTTTCCTCCAGTGATGTACTGATGTGTTCTAACCTGGCAGAAAACTAAATACTACACATCTGTTTGCATGCTTCCTTCAAAGCGGAATGGGGGAAAAGATTGAAAAGTGCAAGAACTTACGGATTGTGATAAGGAGCTTAGACTTGCAGTTTTCAGCTTGTGAACCTACATATAAGTCTCTGTAGCTTAAACTTGGGACTTGTAGATGCACTAAATAAACCTTAGTAGCCCTGTAGCCACTAGCAAATCTTTGTTAACAAAGGGCTTTTGTTTTGGGAAATTCCTGACTGCTGGAGAAGATAGCATAGTCACATAACTACTGCTGAAATGTATTAAACTTTTTGTTTGCAAAATAAGGCAGGTTACAGACAAAGCATTCATACTACCATTTGCTGCTATTGATATCTGAGCCACAGGAATGGGATACATAATAATTTCCATCTGTGGGTAGTTTAATTTAACAGTACTGAAGTCAGTTCTTTGATGTGTTTACACATTTAACATTGAAGTGTTTTTCAGACCATAGATAGCTAACTGTGGTGCTTGTGAGATTAAATCATACACTTGAGTTAAAGAGAAGAGTGCAAGAAGCATCAAAAGACAACACAGTTGATTGAATTCTAAGTG